TAGATTATAATGCCAGAGAAATACATGATAGACTAATAATGATAGATGATTGATAGATAGATGATAGATAGATAGATTGATAGATGATTGATCGATTATAGATTGATGATAGATGATAGGTAGATAGATGATAGATATATAGACAGATGCCAGAGAGATAGACAAATAATGATAGATTAGATAGATAGATAGATAGATAGATTGATTGATTGATAGATGATAGATACATAGACAGATGCCAGAGAGATAGATGATAGACAAATAGATGATAGATTGAGAGATCAATCAATGTAGATAGACGTAGATAAATAATGAGCACATATTCCTTAGTGTTTCATATGGCAATATTTACTGTGTCAAAGGAAGCCTACTTTAGTCCTTGAACAAGGTACTTTGCCAATATTACACAGTGAGGCAAGACTTTACAGTCAGTGGGCTGAAAGGAAAGAAGTACAAAGATAAAAACGTCAACATGGCATTCTACAGATGGGAGCGGACTTTATTACCACAGAGACAGAATACACTGTCACTTCAGTTCACTTTTATTCAATCTAGGGGAGATAAGGAACAAACTTTATGCTCACTGCACCCTTGCTTCAGACACGTAGCTCCTAAGGTGGACAGGGTTAGCTCCCTAAGCATACTACAGGGACCTCTGATGAAGCCCAGTCTGGACCTAATTAATTAATAAGGATATTTTCAGTAACCAAAATAAAAATATGGAGTAAGACAACTTTGTATTGGTTTCTCAAAGGATATAGTAAAGCAAATTCTAGGCTTTTCTATACCTTCATTAAGGGTGGTCTGAGTCTGTTCATTAAAGAGCTTTGAAAATGAAGTCAGAGTCCTTGTGATGCAGTGGTGACTAAATGAAGATTCTCTTGAGGGACCAAGTATTAACCATGTTTGCCTGTTAAAATCCTAAAACAGGGCTAGGGATATAGTTCAGTGGTAGACTGCTTGTCTAGCATTTGAAAGACCCTGGGTTCGAGCCCCAGCACTGAAGAAAAAAAAACTTCTGAGTCCTAAAATGGACTCTCCAGTATATGCCGTATTTTGTCAACTAAGTGGGAAGTGTGTTTCCCAGGTGTTTTCTGTAGGACCTGGGAACATTTATAACATTAGTAGGCACAGTAGGCATAGCATTAAAACACGAAGCAAAAGAACAAACACCCCAGTACCTGTCTTTAGGAATCTTCTCCACCTAGTAAAAGGAGTGAGCTCTTTATTAACAGAAAACTAGAGAAACCTGATCTTTTAAAGCTTGTGATATTTTCAAACGTGTTTTGAATAACTGTCGCCTCCAGGAGTAAAGACTCCATTAATGTCAAACGAGAGACAAACGCTGCTCAGAAACAACCAATATGGGCAACAAAACAAGCACTGCTGCCTTGGAAACGAGTGGGTGTGGTACGACCTGTGCTTTGCCACAGATCCTAAAACCAAACCGCCCACCAAACACCGATGCTAGGGTCTTGAACCAACGGCCTCACTGAACCCAGAAACGAGAGCCAAAGTTCCATATACGCTTCTCAATAAGGAACTCATTTTCTCCCATTAATTGTCATACCATGGAAGCTATGACACTATTTTTACCAAGGTTGAAAATAAATTATTTTATTTATTTATTTTTTGTCTTTTTGAGACAGGGTCTCCCTGTAATCCCAGCTGGTCTGGATCTCACTATATAGAGCAGGCTGCCCCCCCCCTCCCCGTGCTGGGATTAAAAGTGGGCGCCATCACACCTGGTGAAAATAGAATTTTTTTTGTCTTTTTGAAGCAGGGTCTCCCTGTAGCCCCAGCTGTCCTGGAACTCGCTAGGTAGACCAGGCTGGCCTTGAACTCAC